TAAATACGTTTAATTTGTATTGTTGTGTTTGATTAAAGGTAGTGGGGTATGTTTGGTTAGCTAAATAATTAAATAGTTGATTATATTGTTGTTTTTTCATGTTTAAGAATTTAAGCTGTTTATCACACCTATATACACTTTCGCTTTCACTTAATTTATTATGTTATATATTAATGATTTGATTTAATAAGAGGGGAAAGAGATTCATTATCAATGCCACTAAGGTAAAAATATAATTGTGCACGAAGGTTTTCCTGTTGTACTAAGAGAAGTTCTTCCCACCAGAGGTTATTAGCTAAATATTCTGGTTTCATGTCCAATTGTATTTTTCCTAAACTATATCCAATAACACAATCATGAATGATAGTTCCATATAATAAATTTTTCTTGCATGCTTTACAATATGTGTAAACATGATGGTTTTCAGTATCACAAGAAAAAGTGCATTGTGATTCTCCTCTGGTAATGGGTTGTCTAGTGATTACTTGTTTAATCTTTATGTTTTCACAGTAGATTTTCTCTAGTTCATTATCAGGAGATTTATACCCAATGGCAGTAATTAAGACAGTGTTAGAGTATTGTCAAGGTAATTCCTCTTCAAACTATTTGTTACTTTCTTCAGATTCAGAAGAAGAAATATGCTATTCTATATCTTCTTTTATACTAATATTTTTATCCTCATCGTCAGCTATATCAGTTTCAGTAAGATCAATAATGAAACATTTAGCAGTTTCTTTATCATACATACAGGACAATGCATCGGCATTTGCATTATGTTTTTCTGCTTTATGTTCTATGGTAAAATGATGTTGTTGTAATTTCATGATCTATCTAGCACGTCTTCCTTTTAGCATTTTTGAAGTTTTCAGCTATTTTAAAGCAGTATGATCAGTTACAATGGTGAATGGTTGACTAAGATAATGATGAAAATGCTTTATTGACCAAATAATTGCTAGATACTCTAAGTCAGTAATGGGGTAACTTTCTTCAGTTTTGTTAGTCGATCTGCTAGCATATGCAATAACATACTCTTTTCCATTCTTCTTTTGAGATAGTACAGCACCTAATCCTTTCTTTAAAGCGTCAATATATAAAATAAAGGGTATTTCAAAGTCAGAGTACTGCAAGATTGATACTTTGATAAGCCTTTCTTTTAGTTAGTCAAAGGCATATTGTTGTTTTTCTCTCTATTCAAAGGGCTGATCTTTCTTCAATAGTAAGGTCAAAGGTTTAGTATGTTGTATAAAATCTTTAATAAATTTTCGATAGTAACCAAATAATTTTAATGCAGCACATAGTTGAGTTAGACTTTTTGATTCTGAAAATTCTTCAATCTTCTTGATTTTCTCTGGATCAGGTTGAATTCCTCCTTATCCTATGATATATCCTAGAAATGCTAAGAAAGGTTGGCAAAAGTAACACTTCTTTAATTTTATCACAAGATAAGCATTCCTAAAAGTTTGAAACACTTGTTTAACATGTTCAACATGTAATTCAAAAGGTCCTTTTGTGTAGATGATTACATTATCAAAGTAGACTGATATAAATAATCTAAGGAAGTCTTTTAGAACCCAATTCATAAGCCTTTGAAATGTTCCAGATGCATTATTTAATTCAAAAGGCATGACTAAGAATTTGTACAAGCCATTTGCTGTGATAAAAGCAGTTTTTTCTATATCATCAGGGTGCATTGCCACTTGCCAATAACTACTAGCTAAATTAAGGAGAGTGAACCAATTTGCTTCACCTAATGAATCTAATAAATCGTTGATTCTTGGTAATAGATATGCGTCAATTTTTATGATAGCGTTAACTTTTCGATAATCAACACATAATCTTTTTTCACCTCCTTTCTTTCCTACAATTATGACAGGTAAGGCCTATAGACTATAGGAGGGTTGAATTATACCATTTTTTTTCATTTTCTTTAACTCTTGATTTAAGAATCTTGTATTTTTAGGGTTTGTTCGATATGGTTTTTGAGCAATTGGCATAGCTGCTTCAATATAAATATGATATTTGATCTCAGTCGTTTGTCTTATCTCTGTTTGACTTCTTGCACAAATATCATAATATTCTTCTAGAAGATTCATAAAAGACTGTTGTTGATGGAAATCCAAAGGTCCTAGTTGCTTCAAGTAAGTTGGATTAGTCCTAGCAGTATATCCTGCAATTTTGATAAAATAAGCAGCTGGGTTGTCTTCTGATTGTTCACTTAATTCTTTATTTTCATCAATATCCTCTTCTGACTGAATAGGAGAGTAATGATCAAACCATGAGTTGAATTCCAATTCGTCATCCAACTCTGATTTTTCTGAATCAATATCATCAAATAAATAAATAAGATATTCTTCTAAATATTCATCCTCATATTCTTCACTTTCATATTCATCCTCAGCTTCCTGAGTCACAACTTTAGCTGTTTTAGTAAATGCAATGGGAATTTTCATGGTAATTCTATCTTGTTTAATAGTAAGAATAGATTGTTTCCAACTCATAGTAGCATTAGTAATTCTGAGCTAATCATTTTTAAGTATAAGGATCTTATCTTTTGACTCGAGTACTTGAAAAGAGGTAGGTATATTAATTTTTCTAATCTTTACTGGTACATTATCAATTATTCCAAGGAAACGAGTTCTTGCACTATTTATTATTATTACTATTATTTTTAAGGGTCAGTTTATTTTATATCCCAACTTTTCTACTAAAGCTTTAGTTATGATGCTAGTAGCAACTTCACTATTGATAATTGCGATCTGAGCTTTTTGTCCAATTCTCAAGGTACATTTTGCGGCTGAGGTTGGTTCATCATCACTTTCTACTAAATTAGCTTCCTTGGTTTTATCAGTGGCTCTTTCTCTTGAGTGCCTGACAGCTCAAGCTAAATCAGAATGATATTTAGGAATAGCATATGCAGCTTGTTCTACTGATAATCTATATGGTAAATTTTGCAAATAGATTGAAATATTAAATTCAGTTAGTTATTCAATAGGGGCAGGTAATAACCTTCTTTTAGGAGTCTTTAATGCTTTTTCGATTCTAACTGGCTCAACTACAGGTTCTGGTGTTGATTCTTCCATGTCTACTTCTTCAACAGTTATTTTAGCTTTAGGTGGATTTTGAAACCTTGCTGGTTCTCTTTTATTTTTTGATACAGCATTCTTTGGGTAGAGCCCAGATCTAGTATTTAAATAAACTTCATATTCATCTTCCTCATAATATTCCTCTGAAGTATATTTCTCGTCATTATATTCTTCTTTATAGTATTGATCGGCTAGATTTACGTCTTTAGTATCATCATAACAAGGCCTTTTATTAATTCTTCTTGGTTGCTGGTAAGGTTGGGGCAGTTTCTAGCTATGTGTACTTCTCTGTTACAATTATAGCAAGTTATTGAGGACATATTTTGTCTAGGTCTCCTAGGAGTATTATTATAAGTTCGCTCTGTTTACCTTCTTGGCGCTGTTAAGATTGAATTAATAGAGCAGTCATCAAATTAGCATAGTTAATGGATAGCTGTTCCAATTTCTTTGTAAGCTCATTTACTTCAACATTGGTAACATTTTAGGGGTAGAAACTGTAGTAATGCTAATATCCTTAGGGGTTTTTTCAGAGGCAAAATTATATCTGATTTCAATAGTTCATGCAGAGTTTATAGTAGCATCCAAATCGACTGGATTTTGCGAGTAGATTAATGGAGTATAAGCAGGATTTAGTCTCATAAAAAATATCCTTTTCTTCTGCATATCATCTGTTAATCCCACACAAGTCATTAGTTTCTTGAATTTGTTAGCATAGGAATCAACAGATTCATCAGTTTGTTATCGCAGAGAAGTTAATTCCTGGTACTATTGGTTTTTCTTAGTTTCACTGATAAAGCGAGCTTCAAATAAATCCATGAAATTTTGGCTACTATTTGTTCCAGTATTCCAATGTCTCCCATGATAGTGGTGACACTATCAAACCAATCAGCTGCGATATCCTTAAAATGTCCTCCAGCAAGCATCTTCTTTCATGCTTTAGTGATCTATCTATTAGTGATTGCAGCTCTTTCAAATGCAGTGAGCCACTCTACAGGATCTTATTTTTTAGCTCCTGAAAAATATTCGATTTTAATAGTGGATCTTTCTTTATTTTGGTTTCTGCGAAGTCGTTTACTGATATCTATCAAATGTTATTCACCATTTCCAAAAAATTTCCTGAAAGATAGCTCTCATTTCTTCTCCTGTAGTCATTGTTTCAATTTTGACTGGAGGTGAATTAGAGAGTGAGGTTAATAAGCTATATGTAGAAGGTGTTGAAGAAGCAACAAGTTATTGTAATAATCGTTAGTCTGCTATAAGTCTTACTAAGTCCTGTTCTAAGATTTCAGTATATACCCTTGAAGAAATAGATAAGGTAATAGGTTGTTGAAAATAATTTGTTCAAAAGGATATGCCTTGTATATACAAATATATTACGTCTGCTGAGAAAGGTTAAACATGATATCGAATACTAGAAAGAAGTTAGTAAATAACTCTTATTAGGTGAGAATTACGATATTTAGATTCAAGAGTACTACTAAGTTGTTCAAATAAGTTAAAGGCAACAATAGTTCTTGAGGTAAATATATCTGCTTGGTATTTACATCAAAACTAATTCCAAAAATTATTAAAGCTATTGGAAAGAATTTCAATTGAAAGGGTGGATAACACCAATAACAAGTATAATATTGATTAAAGGGTTTGTCTAAGTAATGTCTGACTATATGCTTTAAGGTAGTTCTCTCAAGTTCCTCAAAATTCATACACCTTAGCGGTTCATTAGGCCATTTCAAAGTTGATCGTTCGGATTTTGTGATTGGGTTGTACAAACATTTTGACCAATAACATTTGCGATCAAAATTCGCTTTTTCGATCAATCAAAAATGTAGATCGTTTTTGATTATGTTTAACACGTTCTTTTTAATGTGTTCTTTTAACTTCGTTTTAACGTGATTTTTTCTTTTTAATTTTTTATCTATGGAATTTCCAAAGGATTTTTTAGAAAATACTTCAAAACATTTACTTTATGTTCCGCCTGAACAAAATATTGCAAAATTTAACCAACCAAATCAAAATTTTGTTCCTCCACATTATGTAGATGAATTTTACTTAAATCAATTTCCAAGAGGTTTTTCTGAGACTAATTACAATATTAGAAGAGAAC